ACCACAACACAACCACCCACCACAACACAACCACCTACCACAACACCTCTTGCAGAGCTGCTCTTTACACTTTATTGTTCTCCTCCTCCAATGGCTCCTAGACACCCACGTTCTGTTGCACTGCGCATGCACCGGGCAATGTCACCTGGCTTATCTGCCATGCTGGCAGAGAATGAAACCTCTACCAGGTTCTCACACATCCCTCCCTATGCACTGGAGCATGGTTACAGGCTCAACAGCCAGCCCCACCGAAACCTGCTCCAGCAGGCACTCTTACAGGGTGCACTGATCTCTGGCCACTGCACCAACAAGAATGCCTCCTTTGGATACCTGTCTTCTCCCAATGTGTCCTGTCCTCCAATCTTCATGGCCCACTCTCTCTCTAACGCTGTCTGGCTTCTTCAACAATCACTTCCTAAGGGTACTATTGCACCTGAGGATTGGACAGCTCTGGATGAAGCTGCTACCAAGCTTGATTCTCCTAACCAGGAAGAGGCCTCTTCTGCTCAGCTGCTCAAACGGAATCTCCCTCAAGATACCTCTAGCAGTGCTAGCCTAGCCAAACGCCCTTGCCTGTCCCCTCAGCCAGCTACTTCCTCTGAGAGGGCCAGCCAGCAGTCTCACTACAGCAGTGAAGATGATGATGAGATCAATGAGATGCTTGAGGTGGATGAAGATGCATTCAGGCAGGCCACTCAGGGCAGGCAAGAGAAGGAGGCTGAAAAGGATAAAGAGGTTGAGGAAGAGCCTGAGATGGAGGCTGAGCAGGAAAAGGAGAGGGAGATTGAGCAACAGGAAGAGGCTCAGCAGGGCACTGTGCAAGAGAAGGAGAAAGAGGTTGAGCAGGAGGCTGAAAAGGAGAAGGAGATTGAGCAAGAGGAGGAGGGGGTTGAGCAACAGGAAGAGGCTCAGCAGGACACTTTGCAAGAAATGGGGAAAGAGAAGAGTTGGACACTGCAGAAGGGGAAGGAAAAAAAGAAGGAGCAAAATAAGAAACAGGGTCCTGCAGAGACCAAGGTGACCAACAAGAAACACAAGGAGCTCCTGCACTTCCAAGCAGAACAACAACTTGAGAACGTTGGTCTGGTGGCACCTAAAGGTGCTCATATTGATGAACAGTTGGCCTATGTCTCCCTATTCAAGAACAGAAGCAGCCAGAGCTTGATCAGCTGGCTCTTTGAACAGCCTTTGGGGCAGCAGGACTTCTACACCAGCAGTGCGCAGCCCTATAAGACTGCTACAGCAATGGTAGCCAACGCATGCTCCCTTGGAAATCTGCAGTCACAGCGCCATGCTATGTACTTCCTACAGGAGTGGAGAAGAACAGGATGTCCTGTGTCAGGCATCTTTCCTGGCCCTTCAACTCAAGTATCTGCTACATCTGCTAGCAGCACTCAAAAGCAGCAGCAGCTTGTCCAGAACCAGGCTGCTCAGAACACCCAGCTGCCAGCTGCTAGCCAGCAGTTCAGTAGCCTGTGGCAGTTCCTGATGCACTTTGATGCCAATGCAGGGGCTTTGCAGATCCAGTACCGGTGGGCCATGGCCCAGCTTGCTAAGCTGTACAAAGATCGAGTAGCAGAGCTGG